ATATTTATTTCATTTTCGATCACACTATCTCCATTTCATACTGAAATTAGATACTCAATTGACAGAGATAATCTATTTAAGTAAAATTATATAAGAAAATAGGAAATTGAGGGTAAGTCTGTATTAAGATAATTAGAATAGTTATTTATTAGTTGATAAACTGGATAAAAGACAAGATCATAATACTGATGGTTACATGGCTCTTTTCAACAGTGAATAGTTAAGGTCTGAATCAATAATGAATAAGCTAAGGTCAAGATGACTGTTAGTTGGTTTTTTCGCAAATGATTGTTATTGAGTTCCATGTTTCGTTTACATACATTATATATGTATATGCCAGATAGTGCTAATATTTAATTTATATTAGTAAATGATATTTCTAACGTACAAAGTAGGCTCGCCATAACATTTTTACCATTCACATTTTTCCACTGACTTATGGTATTACGTGATTGATTGTACTAGCTTTCAGTTTGATATTTTCCTCATCATGACCCATCGTAGTATTTGTTTCCGTACTAACAATGTTGTTCTGTTATCATTTCGACATTGTTACAAATGATAAAACTCCTCTGGAATTCCTGTCTTTTTTCTCTGTTATTTGCGTATGGATTATCAACAATGAGTTATTGTGATGTATTCAATATCTAGTCTATCTAGTTCACTTAGACTCAGTGTCGTATTAGAAGAATATCTCAGTTGTTTATGATTTGAAATAAACATACCAATATTGAGGGATAATTAGGTTAATAAACAGGGACACAGTATTATTCTGTATAAAAATAAGTTAGTGTATTACTGATTTACGTCTATTTTCGACATTTTCCTAAATAATTTAATTGGTTAGACAAACAATTTTATCACACTGATGTGATGATTTAATTGGAGCGAGGCAAGTAAAGATTAGTGGATAAAACTTGATTAAAAACAATTATTTATTGATGTTTACAGCTGGTATATGGTAACTTCTGTTTTACGAATAATGGGGCACCTTTCAGTACGAATAAGAACAAATATAAACTCGAATATATTTGATGTTTGACACATGATAAAACTTTAACGTTATTAATAAACAAGATAAAATGAAACAGAAAAGATGGGATCTAAAGATAACTGTATATTTCGAACATAAATCACAAACATAAATTGAATGAATCTTTATTTTGTAATATGCGAAAATCTTGAAACAGAGAAGAAGTTAGTAAACTTAGAGTAATGACAAATAATCAGGTAATAGATAATAATATTGTGGAAATATGAATAAGAAAAAACTCATCGATGTTAGTAAACCTAATTCAAAACTCCAATCTTCCTACATTATAATTGATGTCAGTTGGTGACGAAAAGTCTATGAGGTGATAACCCCGAATCACAACACTAACCCAACTCCTAATATGTATTTATGTATGTAAACGTGACGTTTTCTCTGAACTACAAGTGATAATATGACATGTGAGTGTTGATTATTCATTATTATTGATATTTCATTTCCTTGTCTTGTTAATTGTTTTATGACTAGTGAGCGTTTCCTTACTGAGTGAAAATTTGTTCAAGGTTGTCAGTATGGTATACTTTTACCATTATCCTTTAAAGAAAGAGTTAATATGTTATGATAAATGATTGTATAACAGAAGCTCGCCATAACAAAAATACTGAAATTGAAATATTTATTTTTGAGTAAAAGAGTTTGTTCATGTTTCTAGTGTCGATCTGTCAAACCGTTATTTAAAAGTTTGAAGTTTCCTTCTGCTTATATCCAGAATTGAAATTAATCAGTTCCTATTGTCATACGTACATCCTAAGAATACTCTCTCAGTATTATCATTTAGTCATTGTAGTGAACGAGAACACAGTGGTGACAATCGAATGTATTTGATTACAAAATTATAGAACGTCTTAGTAAAATCTGAAAACCATACAGTAAATACTTAATTTACAAAATATCCATCAATTGTCTCAGACCTTTTTTTTATTTCATTTACATACCAATCACTCTCTGTTCGCGCTCTCTTCTTTTATTCGAGCTTCTCAACTTTCTGCTGCTAGGTATTCCACTTTCAATTGATGATACATATGTAGTGACTCACATTTATCACGAGAACACGACTGGTTTAATAAAAACAATTGTTATTATAACCAACTGTACCAGTGCTTACTTTAATGTGCTTTTGTTTGACTGTGCTAGTGACATCTATTTTGTGCTACCATTCTTATACACACACTTTGATTGTAACTTCGCGCGAATTCGGTTACGTTCTGTAACCAAGCTTGTATTCTGGCACGATCTCGGTATCCTTTCGATGCCACGAGATCGCCAGCGAATACATCTCGATTTGGTCCATTAATTGCCTTCTGGTATTTGGCTTCTCGGGGATTTTATGGATTTATTTGGTTACGTCCAATCTTCGCCTTCTGATTTATTTGGCACGTGTTTATTGGTAGCGGTGTAGCATGCCAACTCGACACCACGCTACACATACTACTTATATCTGTTGACGTCAGTCGCACACACCAGGAGGTGTATTTTCATTTCATTTGGGATTATTTAGCTGGGCATATTTTATTCGTGTTGGTGTTCACATAGAGATTTGGACCTTGTGTTAGGCATTAGATTTTTATTTCTATATTGGGCAATATGTCTCAGAATCGGTGGAAATAACACAAATACTTTCACTTCCCATTTTTTTAGATTGAGTTTCAGTATTAGTTTGCACATATTATTTCACTCCATCTTCCCAAAGCATACTGTTTAATCTTTCTCAATTCCCGTTGCTGTTATAATTATTTTATTACTCATCTTACTAGTTCATCTTATCGTGCTGATGTAGTAATATGAACTTATGACCATGTACATTTGTCACAGCCACATTTGGCCAAATTTTGTACAAATGTTATTTTCTATTTTATGCAACGTTGTGGTCTGTTTGATTGGTATATAAACTCAATATGTTTGAAATATAAGGATTCATAGTGCAGAGGCTGAGACTGGTGTTCTGGATTTAACTGGCTGGGCTAGGCGGAAAGCAGAACCAATCAGGACTTTAGGCTGCTCGCACGTGTTCTACGCGTCCTTGGTCCGATCGGTAATTCGTTGCTTGTGATTAGCGGCTTTGGGCTATAACAGATATGTAACTATTGGACTTCATTATTCGTGGTCCCGTGATTTACTTATATAGCCACGTCAGTTAAAATAATAAAATTACTTACAATAACTCATCTAGCTCTCAATCATTCAGATTGGAGGGTTGTGAACATGGGAACCCTCTTCAGTCCATAGATTACATGAGTTATGTAGTCACAGAGTTAATAAGTTTATTTCTGGTAGGGTTCTAAATTATTGATTAGAGTTAGAAACAGTTCGAATCAATATAGGAACTGTTTGAGTTCCGATCGAAACTTAAAATATGACGGCTAGCTTGTACTGCATTGAGTTACGTAGAACTTTCTCATATTTAGTTTTATAGACGTTTTACATTAATGAATAGGAACACACACACAAAATATGACCGGATGTGAAAGCTAAATTACACAGTTGAAATCTATACCCACCTAACCGCTCTTGAGCTACACGTCAATATCATTAGCCATTACACACAATTAACATGTGATTCAAAGTACAGCCCACAAACTTGTAATCAACAAATCAATAACACTACACTATGATTATTATTTTGCGTTCACTCATATAGGCAATCAGTGTTATAAATGTTTGAAGTTCTTGAGGATTCATCAAGTAAGTTAAGAATAAATCGACAAAAAGTCTATCCATTAAAATACGACGAGTTGCCATGACTGGACAGATCTTATAGTGTTTTCTGAACGTTTCTAGAATCTAATAAATGATCTGACTGTTCACATGAGAACTAACCTTTGAAGTAAAGCTTCTTCTCGTACTTTACGCCTTTTATCCTTCATTCAGGATTTCAGTATCGAAGATTTTAGGGGACTAGTAAACGATTAGTTAGTAGATTAAGTGTTGAATTATTAGACATGTCAATGAAGAGCATTAATGGATAATTAAAACAGTTAACTTCACTCTGGTTTATATTTTAATAATGAATTTTCTTTATTCATATTATGTCGCAATTCTTTTTATATTTCAAAACAATCAAAAATTAAGAATTAAAGAGAGGAAATAAGAAATACATAAGTATCACTGTTCAATGAGTATGAACTTAATTAGTAAATAAAAACTCTTTTCTCACATATACTGAATAAGTTAAGCTGAATAATGGTAGCAACTCACGACAAAAGATACAACGTAGAGAGAAAAATATCTGGTGAAAAGTATGTAGCCTATTACTGGTAGTAATAGTAGTAGTAACAAAAATAGGAAAATAATAATAATAATAGTAATCAGCTTCATAATCTTTGATTTATAATTGGAAAATACAAATATATTTTGAAAGCAGTATAGTATGTGACCGTTTAATTTCGATATACAAATTAATATAAGATAAAATTATGATGAAATCGTACAAAGGCGTACACATGGATACAAAAAAAAGGAAACGAAATCAAACAAAAACAAAACAACGTAAGTCTTTTCTATGATCCATATGAGTTCATTTCAGAATTGGTAATAAATTCGATTATAAAATGAAAAGTTTTCATGAATTTTAAGATATACACAAGAAAACATATTTCTACATACATATATAGAGTTGTTTTCTTTGTTGCAACCCTCCCCATACTTAAAAACAAGAAGGATATATAACAAGAACAAGAAACAAAAGTACATATCGGTAAACTGTATACAATATTAAATGAATTGATGTATTCTGTTTAAAACAAATGATAAATAATATTATCTCTGAATAATCTGTAATAGACAATATAATGCAATATGATATACAAATTTATGCCTAACTAATAAATAAGAAATAGAATAGAAAGAGTTCAATAGAGATTTCTAAAAACTTAACTATAAGATAATCAAATATGTATATATATATACAAATTGATTTGTCAGTAGTTTATTTAACTTCTTATTTAAAAATTTATTTTAATGTCATTAGAGAATTATGTCTCCGTAAATGTTTACTAAGATGATCACTACGTGTAAATCGTCGTGGACAACGTTGACAAATAAAATTACGTTCACCTGTATGTGCTCTACGATGACGGGATAATTCATCGGAACGTGCAAATTTTCGATCACAATGATTCCAATCACAAATATATGGTTTTTCACCTAGATAAGATTAAATAAAAAGAAAGGTGAAAGTGTACTATACTGGCAACGTTCGACAATTTTTTTCACTCAATAAGGAAACGCTCACCAGTCATAAAACAATTAACAAGATAAAGCAATAAAATATCAATAAAATAATAGCTTGGATCTGAGTAACCAACATTCGCATATCAAATTATCATTTGTCGTACAGTGAAAAAGTCACATATTAGGATTTGGGTTAATGTTGTGATTCGTGGTTATCACTCCATAAACTTTTCATTTCCAACTGACATCAGTTATAATGTAGGAAGATTAGAGTTTTGAGTTAGGTTTACTAATTAGAATCAGTGTTTTCAACAGGAAATGATATCAGCTAGAATGTAATACTTTGCCACCTTCCTTTTGTAAATGCGACAATCATCGGGTCGAGATTTCGAGTAGGAGTGAGAATGGGAGAATATGATCTAGCTTAACCAAACACTCTTGACTGCGCGTATTGAATCACATCAAATCCTTTAACATACAATTTGTCTTAGGAGGAGTTCTGTCACATAGTTTGGTATAAGTACCATCTAAAATTGACTTTATCGTTGTGCGATAAATATTTCTATTGATCTGAGACATTTTAGAAATTAAATATTACCAACTTTTACTTGGTTAATAATAGCATACACGTTATTTATATCGATGACTACGTATTGGATCACATCCAGTACTTTAACATACAACCTGTCTTAGGAGGAGGTTTGCTCTGTTACTTGTCTTAAGCACCATCATAAATCCATTTTTCGGATGCGTAGTACATGTCTTTATTGATTTCAAGCGTTTAGTGAAACCAAATATTGCAAATTATTACTTCGTTAATAATAACACACGTTATTCACCACTTCATCTTAAATTTTGTGCAAATTACATGAGCTGTTACTTTGATTCTGATTGGTTGGCTTAAGGTTGTCAGTACATATTATACTTTTACTAAAGGAAGGATTACAATTAATGTGAATTTATTAATATATCATGAATGGATTCATGCATTCTTTGAATGGTAAATTTTGTTGATCTTTTGGCCTTACGATAGACTATTGCTCGAAATAAATTTACATGAAACACAATGAAAGTTAGCGATATCACGCAATCAATTAATTCCAATATCTTAGATGACTTGTTTATCCCGTATTACTCAAACTCAGTATCATAGGTTTGTGGAGGGCAGTAATAGTTAACTCGAACTATGCACATCCGTAACTGAACCGAAAAATTGACTGGTCTTATAGCTAATTGATCTTAATAGTGTCCGTTTCATGTTTCTCAGACAGGATTCTATCGATTAAGTTGAAATGTGAACACTACTTAGAGTAAATTGAACTATTCAGGCTGTCTAGCCTCAGATTAAGATACTGTGTGACATGGGATTGAGTTATATATGGAGTGTCAGATCCATCAAGATTGAAAATACACCTTGATGACGATTGACAGCTAGCATGAAAACTAGATCCAGGATTTTCTATCTACTACGTTCAGTCACCAAACATTACTTTTAAATTCAGTTTTAATAATCTACTATGATACTCTGAATGTAGTAATTTAATGGTATATATATTCATCACATACATAGACTCTCTTTTAGTTCTAATGAGGAGAGATTATTTGAATCGTCAAATAAGTTGATAATGACGACGTTATTCACTGATAATGTAAGAGAATAACTGGATTTATATCGTGAATTGACTGAATTTGGAAAATGTGAAATATATATTTTCTACTAACGGACTTTATAGTATCGAACTTGCAATCAAAATAGAATGTCATTGGATTTGAACCAAAGTGGAGGCTTAAGTGTTGAATGTTAGTGAGTGCAAAAATGGGATGAGACAGATATTCTGTGTTTTTTGTTATGATGAGGCTAACTGATATCTTTTTACGAGCTCCCATTTTTGCATCACTAACTATAGTTATGTCCTATTATGTTCTCAAATTATTGTAAATGAATTAAAAGCTTATTGTTTAAAATTTGAACCTTAAGATGTTCCAGTTGGTTACGTGTATTTTCGTATTTATGTATGGTGCGTCTTGATCATTTAATTCATGTATACGATCAGGTGAATTTTTAAGTCAATGCTCAGAGTAAATTTGATGGTTTTCTTGTTGTTCTAATTTGACAAGCTGGAGAATTAGACAGAGGGATTCTTCATGAGTCACTACTAAACATTAAGATATGAAGTCAGTGAAACAAAACACTAATATCATTTGTTCTGGCACGACTGACCCTAGGTATATATAAGTTTTTAATTTTATTAATAAACTTGCGAAAAATTAATGAAGTTTTTAAACCTGAATATCGACAGTATGTAAAATCGATTAGATTTTTAGAAGCTCTCTTACCTGTATGAACACGGATATGAGCTTTAAGATGAGAACTTTTGAAATAAGCTTTTGTGCAACCATCAAAGTTGCATCGATAAGATTTCACTCTTTCTGAGCCATTATTATTATTATTAGGATTACTAGTATTACTACTCACTGGGGCAGTAAGATTGGTAATGATTGTATTATTAGTATTAGTAATGGGTGATGTCATCATAGTACAATATGAAACAGTTGAACAGTTCACATTTGAAAATATTAAATCAGTTGTTGTATTTTGTAATTTGATACTCGATGTATTATCATTAATTACAGTTGGAGTGAAATTTTGGTTCACATTAGTACAATATTGTTCAGTACATGGTGGGCTGGAAATAACTGATAAATAACTGTCACGGTTTCTCTAAAATACAAAAAATAGTTTTTTTTGACGATTTCATCAACAATTGAAAATTATCAGTAATACTGAACATGTTAAGAGATATCTACAATTGTTTGAGAAATTTTCGAGAATCTTGAAAAATATTTGAAAAACAATTCATTCAACGTTTTCTTAATCTGGTTGGTTAAGCTCTCAATGTAAGTAATGCTCAAAATGAAAGATGAAACTTAAAACTGCTAATTATAAATGGATTTGCTTTGGTAATCATTTTATCAACCTAGACTTTACCATAAATGATATGGCATTGCCCAAATTTCATACATTGGTGGATTTAAGACTAAAGTATTTTCACAATTAGTCTTTCTCAGAACAAACCACTAAGCAGACTTCCGAGTCTCAACGACTTCTGTGTTCCATAATTCGTAACATAAATAATGACTGATTACGTAATTTAATGTACAAAGTATATGTCCGACTAATTATAAAATACTGAACTTTCATTCCTAAGTGTTTGTATAAAAGATAAATTAAAGTTGGATTTAGTTCAAAGCCAATCTGAGATTTCGATTCCTGGAAGTGATTGTACCTTAAACTAAACATTCAGATGGAATAAACTTGGACTCAACATTTTCTAGAAGTGGAAATCTTATATTTATCTTCAAGATATTTAATTTATTATCTTTTATGTCCACTAGTGCATCCGAAAATCTTTATCGTGTATGAAACAGTTTAATTAGGAATATTTCTATATGAATTCTTTTACCGCTGAACGTTTGAGACTCTGGAATAATTTACCACAATGATGATCATGAAATAAAATTACTCTAAATCATTTGTTTGTTGTGTCAATGTTTGTTGCTCCTCTTAAACTTCCATAAACGTGCTTACATCTTTAAATATATTGTGTTTTATTAGTGAAATCATAGGAACATTAAATGTTTTATCGTTATTATTATTATTATTGTACTCACTCATTAACTTTTCTACATGAAGATATTTTACACTTAAATTGTTTTTAACAAACTTAACTAATTTAATTAATAATTATCCTAAACAGTAGATCATAAAACATCCTGGTACACATGTAATAATAGTAGACCTATCGTAGCAATTATCTTTGTTATTGTTCTATGCTCTCTGATCCCGCTTTCTTTACCCAAGTTTTAGATGATTACAATTACCCTACAATAGCACCGGGAATGAGATTAGATACACTATTCATACATCACCAAAAAGTTCCTCTAGAAAGAATTAATGATTCCCAATTGATGCCTCTATGTAAAAAACGTACAACTGTATCTTAAACAATCTAAATTCATTTATCTGTCCTTGACATGTAACATTGTTGTCTATATCAACCTGGTCGTGGTTGTAAATCGATATGCATTCTGTAATTTATTTTCAGAATAAAGAATTTATTAATTCGATTACCAAGTTTAGCGTATTTCTTAAAAGCTTAAAACTTCCCAAGATTATTTGTAACTTTAGAAACACCTATTTACTGTATACGAACGAATGAACCACAAAAGTAAGTCAATAGTTTAGTAGGCCGGCTTGACCACATGACGGTGAATGGTGATAGATACTACTTATTTGTTGTCTGAACAGTTACATTACCATCATTATCATCCTTAATAACATCTAACTAATATATTTTTCATTGTTTTCAAGTTATTTTGAACGTAAACCTTTACATCAATCAAGCCTGAACATAGTTGACATTACGGCAGTTTCGATACTGAATTAAACGCTGGGTGCATTTATTTGAAGTTATAAAATAATATCTCCATTCCATACACTTCTATGATAGGGAGCGTATACTACTTATTATGTAGTGGTAGTAGTAGTGTCACAAAAACACTGATTACGTAAATGGTCTAAATAGGAGTGATGATGAGATACAAATGACAAACAATTACAACCATGTGGATCACAACTTGAAATACTACAAATTTCAAGCGCTCAGCTTAAATAATTGGAATATCAAGTGAAGAAATGTAGAAGAGTCATATCGAAATGTACGTAAAGAAAAAAGTTCATCGACTAGTTGAAGTAGTGTTGTCCACATCAACTGGATTAATTCACTGATGTGCTGAAGACTGATAAAAATATTGATAGTAGCTCAAAGTATTATGTTTATTATAAACAGGATATATTGGATGAAATCAATTTTAGTATGAAAAAGTGGGTAAATAGTCATGATTTGAAGACTAATCTTTACACATTGGATAATTGAATTCTAAAATTGCTTTAGAGTTTAATTTATAACTGCTTAGCTGTTAGGAAACTAAAGCAGTCGGTCCAAGGATAGTGCTGATTATCAAATGAAGATCAAATAAGTATTGAACTGTTGTTATGGTTTTATTTAAAAGCCTTTTACTATACCGATTATGTTTTTCTACTATCATGCATTTCTTGAACACAAAAATTAACTGAACTTTACTCAAATTAACATGAGAATTAAAAGCTGGCAAAATTTATTCCAATAACCCAGGTGACAAAGATAGAATAGTTAATTAATTACAGTTTATATAGAAACGTATTACATCATGGTTAGTCTACTAGGGATGATTGATTTGAAAATGAACCTGTTAACGTATTCCGATTTGAGGCTAACCAAAGATAGATAGAAATCTATCCTGCTAACAATTACATACTCCTTAATTTATGCAAATTTGAACCCAATATCCATCAAGTTTTGTATGATATTGATAGTTTAAATTCTAGTCAAAAACTTGATTTTCCTTTAACCCTATCAACGCTTTCTAAAAACGTTTAGGAATTATCATTTCTGATAGGAAAAAGTAAAGAAAGACGTAAAAAAACTTACTGATGTTATTGTTTCATCGATAGGTTGTCTACCAACCATTTGATCATAATAATGAGTTAGTGTACACTGAGGAAAATCATTTAAATCATACCGTAAAAGCTGTGAATCTGAATTAGATGATCGAAATGTATCATTTGTTGTCGTTGATGATGATAATGATGAATGCAGTAATGTTGTAAGATCAGAGTTGGTATGAAGTAATCGATCCAAAATGTATTGGTGTTGTTCAACACTTTTGTGATTATCATTTTCACAATTGAAAGAATTAGAAGCTGTAGAAGAAAGTTCACAATCATTCCAAAGAGTAAAAGTAACTCGGTTATCAGTAGTAAATTGATTTGTTTTATTAGTCGATGGAATATGCTTAGAATCAGAAGAATTTTCATCGATTTGTTGAAATGACTTAGTTAGAAGGTGAGATTCACCAGTGTTAATAGGTAGATTATTTGACCAATTAGTGTTTAAATTATTCAAAGAAGATTGATTATTGTAGAAAGATACCTGTTCATTGCTTGATGTTTCTAAAGAAGGATTTGATATCTAAGAGTATTTTTTTAAAAGTTCAAGGGGAAAATACATAAACATTGAAGTATATACAGTTATATTCGATTATTATTTAAAATGATAATGACTACCAATGGGTTGAATGAATAAAAAATTGACTGTTGAAATTTAACTGCATATTATAACACAATGTTCAAAAGTTCTATTAGTAAACAGATATTTAAGATTTCGTCTAACTGAAGAGCATTAATAATTTTTAAACGTAGAGTGTTTGCCACTCCACCTGTTGCTCTTCTAGAGTTACTGCCGGTCGCAAGCCTAGGTAAAAGAGGAGGGTCGGCAACCCCATCTCGTAGAAAAGAATCTTGTTAAAAAACACCAACCAGGATAAACCATTTAAACTCTGTTCTACGAGTTGAAGGAAGAATTATTATGTCTCTTGGTGAAAGCCAAGATTCTTCGGAAGTCACGAGGTCGATATACCTTCTAACAACCAGAGCAACAATTAATATAGATACACGGAACGTCCGGACTATGTCGGAGACCGGGAGGACTAGTCAAATAGCAACGGAAATGAGGAGATACAAATTGGCAGTAGTGGGAATCAGCGAAACCCATTGGACTCAATCTGGACAGCAAAGGCTAGATACGGGAGAGATGCTGTTGTACTCCGGTTATACACTCAGGTAGTCGCTCTGATGCTGTCCAAAAAAGCACGAAATGCACTTATAGGATGGGAATTTCATTGATCCAGAATCATTAAAACATTCTCCAAAACGAAGAAGAAGGGAATCACAATGAATGTTTTCCACTGTTATGTGCCTACCGATAATATCAATGACGACGATGAAGATCAGTTTTATGAGAGGCTGCAGTCGATCGTAGAGAAGTGTCCAGGAAATGACCTGACCATCCTGATGGGAGACCCAACCGCCGAATTCGGAATATACAACACCGGATATAAGGATATCATGGGGCGGCATGGAATGGGAGAGAGAAACGAGAATGGTGGCCTTCAGCTACTCTACAACTACCCTCCATTCCCAGACAGCCTGAATGGAACATTGAAGTAGGTCCCCCTACTCTTGCTGAAGTTCAAAAGGCTATAGTTAATCTGAAACGAGGAAGGGCAGCTGGTCCAGATGGATTGGCTCCAGAGGTCTTTAAGGATGGTGGTCCAATTTTAGCGATTAAGTTGACTAATATTTTAGCTAAGATCTGGGAATTAGACTTTATCCCATCTGACTGGTCGCAATCATTTATCGTCCCAATATATAAGAAAGGGTCAAAATCATCCTGTGACAACCACAGAGGGATTAGTTTAACAAACATAGTATCTAAAATACTGGCCTCGATAATTATCAAACGCCTAACTAAGACTCGTGAACTACAAACTCGAGAGAACCAAGCTGGCTTTAGACCTGGTCGTGGCTGCATCGGCCACATATTCACCATTCGTCAGGTTCTAGAACACAGGCATACCTATCGGCGTCCGACGGTGGTCTTTCTTGACTTAAAAGCAGCATTTGACTCGGTAGACCGCGAGACTCTGTGGCAGTGTCTGTCATTGAAAGGCGTACCTCAGAAGTACATAAACCTTGTGAAGGCTCTTTACTCGAACACTACTGGTCGAGTCAGGGCTTATGGCGAACTGTCATCTACTTTTGCAACCTCAGGTGGTGTCCGTCAAGGCTGTCCACTTTCTCCATTTTTGGTTAACTTCATCATAGACCTATTGATGGAAATAACACTCTCGTCGACTGAATTCTCGGGTATTGATCTCCTTCCAGGAGGTCCACTTATCGACTTAGAATACGCAGATGACATAGTCCTGTTTGGTGAAGACGCTGACAAAATGCAGAGTCTTCTGGTAGCACTAAGCAACAATGCCAGAATGTTTGGAATGCGCTTCTCTCCCTCTAAATGCAAGTTGTTGCTTCAGGACTGGTCTGCGTCAACACCTGAACTAAGGATAGGGAGTGAAGTAGTCGAACGCGTTGACAACTTCACTTATCTTGGAAGTGTGATCAGCCCTAATGGGTTGGTATCGGACGAAATCTCAGCACGGATTCGAAAAGCTCGTTTGGCTTTTGCCAACTTGCGTCACCTTTGGCGAAGGCGAGATATCCGTCTATCAATAAAAGGCCGAGTATACTGCACGGCAGTTCGTTCTGTTTTAATTTACGGCAGCGAAACATGGCCCTTAAGAGTAGAAGACACCCGTAAGCTACTAGTATTTGACCACAGATGCCTTAGAAATATTGCTGGCGTCTGCTGGGATCACCGGGTAAGTAATAGCGAGGTTAGACGCAGGGTATTAGGGAATGATGGTAAATCAGTTGATGAGGTTATGAATCTTCATCGACTGAGATGGTTGGGCCACGTATTACGTATGCCTGAACACCGATTACCACGACGTGCAATGCTAACCGGGGTAGGGGATGGTTGGAAGAAAGTTAGGGGCGGCCAAACCAAAACGTGGCATCAGTGCCTGAAGTCACTAACTTCTAGTCTGAGCCACGTTGGTAGATGCAGACTACTTGGTTGGGGTCCGCGTGACTTTCGTAACCAATGGTTGGAGACTCTTGGGGACATGGCTCGGAATCGATCACAATGGCGTCGGTGAATACACTCCCTGTCTTCCCTTAAACTAAGAGACTAAAATCACTTCATATCTTTCTGTCTACGAACTAATTCTTGCTTCCTATACTATATCCTTATTGCAACCTTTGACCTAACCACTCCTATGAATCCGCTGTTCATCTTGCTGTGCTAATGAGGTATGGCAACCTGGACCGATGCACATATGTGCCTGGTCCTACGTTGTAGCTGACTGACTGACTGACTGACTGGTGAGAGGTTCGCAAATCTATGTGCATTCAACAAATTGGTCATAGGCGGCACAATATTCCCACGCAAACTTATACACAAAGCCACATGGATCTCACCGGACCACACCACAGACAAAAAGATGGATCATATTCTCATCAATAAGAAGTTCCGAAGGACAATGGAAGATGTGAGAACCAAGAGAGGAGCTGATATAGCTTCAGATCACCACCTAGTTGTGGCCAATTTAAAGCTGAAGCTAAAGAAGAACTGGACAACTGGATAAACAGCACTACAAAGGTTCAATACAGATTTCCTTCGAGATACTAATAAATTCAACGAATACCAGATAGCTCTCAGCAACAGGTTCCAAGCCTTGCAGGATCTACTGAATGGAGAAGAAACTACTATGGAGGACAACTGGAAAGGTATCAAAGAAGCATTAACTTCAACGTGTCAAGAAGTTCTGGGTCTCAAGAAGCATCATCATGACGAATGGATCTCTATGGAAACCCTGCACAAGATTCAAGAAAGAATAAGGAGATAACAATTAACAACAGTTCAATAAGGGTAGAGAAAGCCATGGCATAACCCGAATACACAGAAACAAACAAGTGTGAAGAGGAGCATTAGAGCCGACAAGTAGAAATACGAAGAAAAAGCATCAAGAGAAGGAAATATAAGACAGCAACGAACAAACTAGTAGGAAAATATGGTAAACCAGTGAGACCGGTCAAGGACAAAGAAGGCAAGACAATCACCGAGGTTCAAAAACAGAGGAACAGATAGGTAGAATACTTTAAGGAAATCTTGAATAGACCAGCTACATTGAATCCACCGGATATCGAAACAACACACAGAGAATATCATATAAATGTCACTCCACCAACGGTCGAAGAAATCAGGATGGCCATCAGACAAATCAACAGTGAGAAAGCAGCAGGACCTGACAATATATCAGCTGAAGTCAGACATGGAAACAACTGCAAATATGTTTCACACTCTATTCAGGAAGATTAAGGTGGATGAACAAGTGCTGACAGACTGGAAAGAACGATACCTCATGAAGATACAAAAAGTGAGATCTAAGCGAGTGTGAGAGTTGCATAGGCATCACACCACTATCAGTACCAGAAAACGTTGTCAACAGAGTGTTGTTTAACCACAGGAAAGACATGGTAGGTGCCAAGCTTCCAGATTGACAGTTCAGATTTCGAACGGATCGGTCGTGCATATACCAATGCGCGATACTATGTATCATTGTTACTATACATCAACTTCACTGACTGTGTGAAGGCGTTTGATAGTGTGGATAGTAGAACTTTATGGAGTTTCCGACAGTTGAGTGTACCCGAGGAGATAGCCAACGTCATAAGATGGAGTATACTGAGCGGCCGGACATGAAGGCCGGCTGACAGATGCATTCTAAGTAAAGACCGGAGTCAGACAAGGCTGACTTCTCTCCGCCCTCATCTTTCTTCTGGTTGTTGACTGGATTATGAAGACCTCCACGTCTCAGGGGAAACACGGAATACAATGGACAGCTGCTGATCAATTAGATGATTTGGACTTCGCAGATGACCTGGCTCTTCTATCCTATAGACACCAACCAATGCAGATGAAGACAACTAGTGTAGCAACAGCCTCTGCTTCAGTAGGCCTCAATAAAAAGCTAGATCTTCAAATACACCACAGAGAACACCAACGCAATCACACTTGATGGCAAAACTCTGGAAAAGGTGGAAACTTTCACGTATCTAGGTAGCATCATCGATGAACGTGGAGGATCTGATGCAGATGTAAAAGCGAAGATTGGCAAAGCAAGGGCCGCATTCCTACAATTGAAGAACATATACAACTCAAAACCACTCTCAATCAATATAAAAGTCACAATCTTCAATACGGACGTCAAGACAGTGATTTCTACTTTACGCAGCTGAAACGTGGGGAACTACTAAAACCATCATCAAAAAGGCACAAGTATTTATAAACAATTGTCTACGCACGATACTCAATGATTTTTGGCCGAATACCATAAGCAATAGTCTACTATGGGAGAGAAGAAACCAGCTTCCAGCTAAGGAGAAAATTAGGAAAAGACGTTGGAAGTGAATAGGATACACATTGAGGAAATCATCAAACCGCATCACGAAGCGAGCGCCAACTTAGAATCCTGATGGTAAACAGAAAAGAGAAAGGTCAAGGGACACACTACGCAGAGAATTAGAAGCATATAAGAAAAGGATTGCTCAGAACAGGGTTGGATGGAGAGTGCTAGTGGGCGGCCTATGCTTCTCCACGAGGGGTAAAAAGCGTAAGAGGGTTTACAACAGGGTCAGTAACTCATGATAGAGATTCAACAGAAAGGTATAACAAGAGTTTTCTCTACATAGAATAGATGGAGTGTGGTCAACAGTGGAATTAGGGACGTATGTGTTGTCCTATTTCGGGATTCGTCATCTAGATGCACTCGCGTCCCAGAGTTTATGTCTACTCTGAGATTTGAACCCGGAACCATTCGCTGCAGATAGTCAATCACCTACAGTGTTTAAGACTCAGAATCTAAGTGGATAATGCGTTGGGGTTTCGAGCGAAGGGTATCAGACTGGGATCCAGGATGCAGGTACATCGATCTGACGAGTCGCAAACAGGACGAAATATAAGTCCTAGATTCTACTGCTGGCTACATTTCATCCATTCTACGTAAACCTATACCATGATGGCTATAATGAAGTAATCTGCACAGGATGCACGTATGCTAACTAAGGTTGATCAAATTCAAGTCAAAACACCAACAATGGGACAATCCAAACTACTACAAATTAAATCAGAGTTCTATCTCTTTATTACATAGAATCTACCCTAACAATTCAATGGATTACAATTTATTTTCAGACCAATAGCCAGTTAGTTAATCAGTAAAAAACCACGTAGAATTTTTTAATAAACGTAAGCTTGAATAAGCTGAAATAATTCTCGTCAGTGTAACAATTGGAGATAAAATAGTAGAAATAAAACGGTTTAAATCATAATATTAACAGTAATACTAAAAAGCCAAACATAGAGATCAGTTGGTGATTTAAAATCTATGAAGATTCTAGTCTTCACAAAACCCTATACTGATAATAATCACATCCCCAAAAGTGATTGACTTCTAGATGGATTTCCTGGGGTTCTAGTGAGAAACCATGACCAGTAGAGTTCAGTCGTGTCGAATGTGGGACAGTTATTCACCACAAGCAATGGAAGATGGTAGCGTACTATCGTGATGAGATCGGAGTCAAACAATAACAGCGTTGGATGGCAGCTTAATAGTCTAGGAGTTAAGCATTCGCGCGCGAGACAGAAGGTTGTGGTTTCGATTCTGGATCCAGATATGTGGAGGCACACTACTGAAGTATCGTATACCTAGACGAAAAGTTTGTCTGGTGCTTCTAGGTTTTCAACGATGGCCTAACTAAGATCGGCTCGTGATTTAACATCTTTTGAAAACATACAGAAGTCGGCTCAAGAATAATAAGTAAAATTGAAGAATAAGAACTATGGATTCCTATTAAAGTCAGTATTAAAAATTCTGTAGTAGTCAGATAAACAGGTAGAATATACTTCCAAACCTATCTGACTTAGTGCCTCTGTTATTTTGAAGGAAATTCTAAGAGCCATGAAGGATAGCTTGAAACTAACTAAAAGATAAGTACATAAGGTGTATAATTTACCAATGTTTAGCTACTGATGCGCCTAATATTGGTAAACATGATGGCAGAAGTAAAGTACCGGGACGAACTAATCAAATTTCGGTCTGAATTTTATCATTACACTATAGCTGATTTTAGTTCGTGATAAAAACCCTAACAATTCATACATAAGTGTTCATTATTCATATAAAATATGTGCAACATATTACTTTTTTTTATAATAAGTAATTTAATAACTAGAATTTGTATTCTCGCTGGCTAAAATATAGTTTCAAGTCGTCCATATACTTTACACACACCAACATGAAAAAAATAGAGAACTCTGGGGACGAAATTCAGTGATTCTTTGGATTTAGACGAGAAAGTACTTGTAGTTTTACACTGATCAATGGGTACGCTTACTGTAATTATTAATCTTAACCATAACTTATAGGCCTTATTCGTATACATAACTCTTTCTCATTTAATTTAATAAATAATTCAGCATGTAACGACATCACATCATTCATGACAAAACAGTTTAGCCATTGTATTTTAATCACTTTGCTTTACAACCAAATACTGTCTTCTGATTGGTTGATGGGCCGTCCAAGGTCGGCGGTATAGTCTACTTCTAATGGAAGCAATTAATGGATGGGGATAAATTCCACCCTTGTTCTCAATTTCGACCTTGCACCTAACAACCAACCAAAATGAATCGGGAATTATTATTTCCACTATCATAATCAGTGATGGAGGGCGTATTTCGTTCTCTGTCCTTTATGCTGGCTTACATGGAAAATATAGTTTTCTATGACAAAAGTACCACTCCATCAGGCTATGGACGTGTTAAGTGTAGGGCAATCAGTAATGATGGAAGAAAAATTACAACTTGGCAAAAGTCATACCTCCAACTAATTCTATAATAGAAATTATTCCAAAATATCTACAATTGAGTGACTAAATTAACGAAAACATAACAGTAATTACTGACTACGATACACTTAGATGACTTGATAACGTGGAGTTTATCCCCAACCCAATTAACTCATTACAAAGTAAGAAATACCTTAGGAGAGATATTTTAATTGAGAATATGTAAATAAATTGTGAAAAATTAGTTTTCATAGAGTGCACTAAGTATTGTAATAAACTTTAGAGGTAGATTTCAGTAGGCTCTTGTGTAAATGTGGTCTGCAGTAAAAAATGGGAAATTTAACTTTGAAAGAACGTACAGTTCCTTAATTAGTTGACACACGCTAATTGAGTAAAACGTTTCTCCAAATTCAAATGTCAATAATAGGTTCTTAGCAAAAACATAACCGGTGAGAATGGTGTTTACGGACAACAGTTGAGCGATATTAAGGTGACCATAAGAAACTTGAACAATTTACTAAGTTCGAAATAGGGTTAAAAATTAGCGAGAGGAATCAAAACTAGGCTTTTGGGTTTTCACTATATTCTGATATCAGGTATAATGCCAAAAATGAATAATATCCAGTCATGTGAATGAATGGATTCAATATGCGCAACATTACACTTGAATGGTTCCTATCAACAAATTATAATCCCTCCATGAATAGATTTACTGTTGTTCTATGATTTAGAGCTAAATAAAATTGTGTTTAAACAGCTTATATCAACAATAGAAAGAGATTCTTCCAAACTTTTCAATGATGTCATCATTAACTTAACATTTTCAAGCGGTGAGAAGTCAGTATATATATACTACCTATGATAAAATTCAAGTCTAAAGACTAGCTAGAAGTATTAGGCTATGTTAATGACGTTTCAGACCCTGTAAAAGTTCAACTTCATCTTCTAACGTTTCATTCTTAAAATATTATTCATAATAACAAAAATATTAATACATAATATAACTCACTTGTAAATTAGGTGTATTCATGATAGGGCTAAATGAACTGACATTTTGATGAGGAATAGTTTCCGGAACTTTTTGCAATTTATCGAAATTAATTGATGATTGTGATTCCTTATTAGTTAAAGATTTAATCCGATGAAGTTTAAATTTTATATTCCGATGTAAATTTCCATCTAATGTTAAGTAGGATTGAGATTTACTCCTTGGTTCATTTTCTCCTGTTTTTTGTATAACTGACTCTTTAAACATATTTCGATGATATTCGGAACAATAAAAATTTTGGGTTACTGATGATTTATTTTGTGGAAATATTGACCAGTTCGAGCATGAACCTTTGGCCAGTGATAGTAAAACTTCAGCAGCTTGCAATTCATTAATCTGTAAAACAAACGTCGCATAATTAGTAAAAAAAAGATAAATACTATAGCAAATATACAATGTTGTTTGAAATAGTTTAAAACTAACTTTATCGAATCCGGAATCCACTGTCGCACCAGGTAGGCATATAGACTCGTAGGCTATACCCATATTATGAGTAAGACTAGAGTTCGCGTGGTATTTTAGATTAACTGATGCAAACTCATAACCACGTTTATTTATCAGTTGGCACGCCCCATCCCTTGCATACGAAATTAAACTGACCAATGACTAGACTAACTAAGGATATTAAATATGAATTAATTTAGCCAATCAAAATTGAGTCAGCTGTCAGTCACGCATTTAGGGCGTGTCAATTACGTGAATATTTGTCCTTGAAGTGGTCAAGGTCATATGATCTAGCTTAAAAATATGCATTTCAATTATTGGTTAATTATTTTGTGGGCGGATCATTTATTTTTCATACCTGAAAATCGTGATACAAAATCACAAAAATGAATGTGATTGTAGTGTTCAGGTGGAGTGCATGCTACTTTTAGTGAAACATGTAGTGGATATCTTGATTAGGTTAATATTTGTCTGTTAGCTGAACTTTTCATTCTTGATGTCTGTGATTGCAGTTACGTTCGCTACCAAACCTTTTCATTCATAAAAGTACGTTACGTAAATTTACAGTGCATAAGTCATTTATCCAGTGACAGATAAAGTTGCGTTAGATGAAATTCAGTTCAGTTTATCCCGAACTCTGCACAAAAGATGTTGAACGCTTGAATCATACCTAAGTATTGCCAATCGAATAATCTGATAATTCTATCAAGTTATGTGGGTTGTCATTGAATTAGATTGTGATTAGTCATTCTATGGTTGTAACAATTAATGATATACACACAGGTTTTTGTTCGAAAGTATGTTATGGCATTTGAATTCCAGTAAATATGAATTAGGTTCAGGGATTTTCATTGTTTCATTAAAATTTATGGTCCAATCTATATTTAGTTCCTTGATTTAAATTCACTATACGTTATTTCAGTTTTTATTCATAACTATCAAGCTTATTTTGCGATGAACTATAATTTTAAAGGAAGGAATCCTCAGATAGGCAGTGCAATGGTTCACTCAATATCAAGATATTATCGTTATACAGTTATCTTATCTATCCATAACTAAAATCCAAAAAGAACTTTATAGATTTTTCACTTTTTTAAACTTTGGAAAAAATATCTGGCCTTGTGAAGTTGGTGTTCATTCTCCTGAACTTGTTATAAGTGGAGTTTCTGTTGCCAATTTAGTTGTAATTCAATGAATAAAAATCGTCAACTTTCATTTGTTAGTTATTTGATAAGATTCTAGATATTGATAAGCAGTAGAAGCCAGGATAGGTGTTTTTATCCTTCTATGGAAACCCGTCTTCTCACTAATATTCAAATACATCCAGGTGAGGACTCCCAAAACAGATCGAAGCATGTAATGGCCAAAACTCCATCTGTAATGAGGAAGTAAACATTGCTATATCAAAACATTTATTCCAACGTAGTTTAACCATTTCACTACTACAAATCTATATTAGTCAGTTTTCCTTCCACTTACACCAGTTAGCAAATTAGGAATCTTCTCAAAATGTGCTTCTTTTTTCTTCAAAAACCACCCAAGTAGATAAATACATTTGTCTGATAGAGATCCAAATAAATAGCATGTATGTACTTTCTGTGAAGTATTTATTAAATTAAAAAATTTATTGATATTTAAAAAACAATAGTGTATATAGTGGGATCCAGGACATGTATTTTATGCTGTTCAGACAGGACACATTAAGTGAATCGCATCGCATCGCATCCATGAGCATGTATATTAACGAAGGTTAATCAAATACAGTCCTGATAGTCAATAGAGGAAAAATAAAGACTCTTATGACTAATAATAAATAGTATATCTGTTGAATAAGATGTTGGCAGTCATGATTCAGTACACTAGTCTAGAGAATAGTTGAATGGGTTTCAGTATTTAAAAGTCACTTACATATCAACTAACAATCGAATTAAATTCGAAATATTTTTATTCCCTCAATTAGTTACAATGCTTTAAATGATAGAAAGATAAAGACTAGACGGAATCATTTCTAAAAAAAATTGGCAGCCATAATATTGGACGTAAATAAACAACAATAAAAACATGATTTATGCAAAATTTTCATTCATTCATTCATTCATTCATTCATCATTTAAAACATTGAATCAATGTACTCATTTTCAATTTATGTCAATCATTTAATTAATCAATATATATTATTGATTTTTATTATATTTTTGCGCGTCTATTTAAAATGTTTACAATAAATAATATGATTACAAAAAAACTTGTTGACGAGATCTCAAAAGAGTAGAACAAATTGGATAATAGAGTGTATTGTAAACTAAGAGAATTTATTAAATAAACTACATTTGTGTTGCAAATAATGGAATTGGAAGAAATTATGTCAGTCGTCTTTAATGATCATAATAATTATTATTTCTTTACTTGATTGTAAAATTTAACATCAATCGGTTCATGATCTCAATCAAAAGCTTAACAATCTCCACAACCACTAAACTGGTAAAATGTATAGTTAAATCTTTTGTATTAGTATAAAGAGAGAGATGATAATTTAGCTACTATTTTTGGGTATCTATATTGACTGTCTTAACTGGGAGATATTGTTTAAAGTATTCTCAAAGAGATATTGTTTTATAAGTGTTACAGATGATTTAATTTTCAAGTTGGACATGTTGAACAGAATTTAGGGTACAGTGGTAAAGCGTATAGTTGTGACAATGAGTGTTTAACTCTCTTTCAAACTATACTGAAAACACATACAGAGGTTAAAAATTTTCTTACGACCACTCAGGAGAAAATCACATTTACTTTAATGCAAAGATACTGATATATCATGAGTTACATTGGATCAATATTATTATACCACGAGTTATTAAACTAGAATGTAATATTATTTCTGAGAAGTTGTTCTTTGCATAAGCTATTTTCAGATGAATGCTGTTTGAAGATGTGATGGTGGAGATCTCACTGAAACAGTTATCAAAACAAAATGTCTCCACAAAACCCCCATTCAAATAAGCATCGCTTGATCGTTAGTTATTTGCTTCGAGTCTTGGTGGAAAGCCACGGTCTGTAGCGTTCAGTCATGTAAGTAGGACAGTTAACCACTATAACAATGAACGATGACCTCTCAATATTTTGGACTGACTGAAGTTGAAATATTAGATGCCAAATTAGTGACCTAAAAACAGAGTAAACTGTCAGCGTTAACCTTTGATGTGTCAGTGAGAATAAACAGATTTTCATGTTTAGTTGATTTGAGGCACGTGAGAACGAACCATAAGACAGGAAGAAATTTAGTGATCTATTCCGAATATTGAGCGGATTTTCCAGACTGTCTATGTGGTACCAATAACCTTTCGCTAACAAATAACACGGTAAGTGTGAAACAACATCAAATGACTATTGTTCCAGAATACGGTTTCACACTCTCGCTGCTTTGATAGCCAGAATAGAGCACGACTCATCAAACCGATAACTTCTGATCATACATCTCGAATTTATGAATCATACATACAATGTTATAAAGAAAACTACTGATCACACATAAAGAGAATTAGGAAATTACAATATGAGCACAACTACACGATAAGTTGAAGAGAACTGAATGACAGATATATAATAAATTAACAATAACTTGGGAACGGCAGAACACAAAACAATGGTTTTCTTGTCAAATAAAAGCTTAAAATTAGGGGATTACAGGTATATAATTTTTATTTAGTAATAGCACCAAAAACATAAAAACGTAACTTCAGACAACACTGATCAGAAAGTTCTCTTTTGACTAATATTTATCTCGAGATGATAACCTTAAATTTGACAGGGAATTCAGTACAATGGTTTAGCCAAATAACTACTAAAATAAACAAATTTCGCCTGGTTTAGTTATTAAAACGCTTATCTACTTTCTCGATTTCTATTTACAACTTATTTTTCTTAATTTCAAACTAATCGATTAATGAACAGTAACCAAGTGTTGTATTTAGTGTTGGTGAAATTCTATAGATCAAGTAGTGATGCAATCAGTATTTTTGAAATGGCGATGTAATATATTCGAGGTTAGATGATGAGACAGATTCGAGTTATGTGAGGGGCATCAATTCTCCAAAGATTGTGGATCTATCTTGTTGTTAAGTGTCAACTAGCATACAGAACAGATATGGAAATTTTCCTGAACTGTCTTCGGTCGTCTAACGTAATATCTATTATATTTTTCATGAGATTTTAATTAAAGACAGTTTTGTTTTATTTATGATCTTGACGGCTATCAGTTACAGAAGTATGAATATATTCATACATGGTTATTCGAAATCTTCTTATTCTTTAATTGCCTAAATTTATCTGGTCTTAGCCAGTCACTTCATCCGCATCTTCAATATTGTCTATCAGAAAGGTTTTTTTAACATATACGATTCAATAAATGTAATGGTGGATGGAGAAGTTTAACCAAAGATTAGTTAGCATGTATCTTGTTGAATAGAAATGGTTTAAAAAGTGAAATGGAGCATAATATTTGCAAATGAAAATTCATTATCATTCATTTATCAGCCGAAGTTTGTTTAAGCAACCGGAATTTGATTTCCTTAACTTCTAAACCCCAAAACGGCCGTCCAGTGTTTCGAGGTTTTCCATGGTAGTCTAGCTTCTAATTGACTCATGATCTCAACTATTAAAATTACTGTAATATCCACAAAAACCCATTCGGATTATTTATTCTTTAATTTTGGTACAACATAATATTTACTTCATGGTAAGTTCAAAATGTCTAGACCATGATATACAAATATTACATAGCTCAATTTCGAAAATTTATCTCTCTTTGTACTAAATGTTAAAAAAAACATGTGACTTTATTCCTTTATCTTTTCAAGGTTGGCCAGATTTTGTTTTTCTTCCCAGGTCATCAGTTTGTCTCTCAAACGATTTTATTGACATTATAAATTAGATATAACCTTAAATTTTGAATTAGTAAGCCAATCATAATATTTGAAAAAAATAGACAACAATAATAATTTGTATCAGAACGGTTTTGTGGATATTATAGTAATTTTAATAGT